CACCCCCCGCCGCCACTCTACGTCTTCTATCTCTCTACAATCTCACATAACTTCGACACACACTCCGATCAAATCTACTGTCGCGGATTTAACGCTCGCGTGCTAGAATTCATCGCGAAGAACTAGGACGCGCCTAGTCTCAGTCTTCGTGATAACCCATCGTCGACACTTATTATCTGAACAGAAACGCTCAAACGGTACGCGCGCTCTAATACCATCGACAACGAACAACTCTACGAAAACGAGTACGACCGTTTGAAAAGCAAATCGCTCTTCTTTCTTAAATCTGCTATATATTATAAATAGGGTGAACACAAAAATATGAAATGTCCGTCTGTAGATTGGTACTTTTCAGCCATTATTAAATAATATATACATTCATAGCTCCAATGTTAATTTGAATTAGAATTGTTCTTTGCAATATATAAACTTTCTCCTATTAGAAATTTAACAATGTCTCGCAAATCTCAAATAAATATATACAATATAAAAATTCTGACTTAAATCAAATCAGGTAAATGATCGAGAAATCGGAAACGTTTGAAGTAGAATAAAGTTAAAAGGAAATAAGTAAAAAGGGAAGGAGCTAGTCGGATTAAAGCCGACAATTATGGGCCACAAATTGGCCCACGGCCCGTGTTTCTTCTTCCTCTTTGTATTACATTGCTATTCGTCGCGAGTCGGTGGTACTCGAAATGGATATATGGTATAAGGTAATAAGAAAGGGAAGAAAGTAAAGGGAAGGGCCGGTGGGCCGAAGGCGTACTCGCGCTTGCTGACTTATACTCGAGCTGTTCCACGGCATATGCGAGTCGCGTGGGTGGACGATTCCACGTGAGTATGCGCGTGCGTGCGTGTGTGTGCCACCTCCACCATCTCCACCTTCTTCTCCTCCTCCTCCTCCTCTTCTTCTATAGCGGAGAGGAGGCATATGGTCAGCAGGTGAGAGCTCCGCTTTGTGTATTCCAAGTGTATAAAGTAGCCCAGTTCGAGTGGCCGATGTTACACTCGGACATAACTCACGGTAGAATGGTAGAGAGAGATAGAGATAGAGATAGAGAGAGATAGAGAGAGAGAGAGAGAGAGAAAAGGGTTGGGAGTCGGCTTCTCCTGAAATGCTAACGATCCCTTCGAGCAGAAGCAGCATCAGGAGGAGGCGGCAGTGATGGTGGCTGCCTTGGCGAGACGGGACGAAACGGGACGGTACGGGACGGGACGGAACGGAACGGAACAGTGCGGGATGCCGCGGGACGGAACGGGACGTGGAGGGTGAACCGGTGGTTAAGCCACGCGGAATGTTCTGGATACCGTGCGAGAACGTGGTATCGTGTACATGAGTGCGTGCGTGCATGCGTGCATGCCCACTTGCGCACACGTGCACTCAGTACTACCTCACGAACATCGTAAGAGAGAAAGAGAAAATCAGGATTAGAGGGTGGAGTATGTAAAAACGAATCGTGATTGTTCGTTAAAACGGAAACTTTTGATTTCGAAGTAAGGGGGAAAGAAAAAAAAAAGAAAAAAAAGGGTAAGAAAAAAGAAAAAGCGAATAAAAAAGATGAGAGAGAGAAAAGGGTTGGAGTTGTTCGGGGGGTGAGATTGCTAGGTGAGAGATGGCCTTTAGGAAATACACTGGGTGTCGCTTGATATATTTTTCCATTATTAAGGACATTAAGCCGACGGCCCGCGGCCAGGCGACTCTTTCCGTTTTCTTATTTTTCTACTTCCTCTTTTCATTTCTCTTCGCGGACCTTGCCTTCCTCCTCTTCTTCTTCTTTTCCAGCTCCTCCTCCTCCTTATTCTACTTCCATCTCCTTTTTTCACCGCAGCGACGACTATAAATCAGAAAAAAAGATTCAAACCAGCAGTATGGTCGGAACGTCGGGACGCAATTTTCCGTCTGCCAAGAGATAAAAATTTGATTAATGGATACGTTGCTCGGTAATTCGAGAATGGCGAAAATTCTTCTTTTAAGCCTTTTCTTTCTTTACAACGACTAGACCAAGAAATTTCGAGATTCATGAAGGAACTGTTCGTTGATGAACCGCTAAATGACAGCAACGATTGTTCTATGCGATTGTCTATGATATGATTAAGAAACGTTCTACTATGAGACATATTAAAACACACATGGTTCAATATGTGTAATTCTTTGAATGAATCGTTTTGGATACATCCTTCCAAGTTAGTTATATTCTTGTAACTATAAAAATACAGTAATATTACAACTCCCTTAAAATATTATAGATTATAATGTCTCTCCTGGAAACTTACGATCTAATTTATTTCGCTAAGAAAAAAAAAATAAATTTAGTAAAGCTTGGTTGTCGTACAAACTTCGATAAGATGAAACAAATTACACGGACACAATACCGATTGTTCTGGTATTCTAGTGTCGTGAAACGAGACCAATTTCATTCAAATCGGCGAATAACACAACTACCCTACCAGCTATGTCCAGGTTTGGAATGAAAGTGGGTATACCGAGTCGAAAGATGGGGGTGGAGGAGATAGAAGAAAAAGCTGAGGAAAAAGACGAGAAGTAAAATCGGCTGACAGTCTCTCCTTCTCTCACGGGGATTAAAAGTCACAGGGATGCCCAGTGTCGATCGTAGGCAGTCAAGCATCGGCCGTTACCTTGAATGCTAAGGAAAGGGTTGAAACTCGGAGAAACTTGAGAACCCCCGGTGACAATTTCAATTCTCTCTATCTTTTTTTTTTTTTTTTCTTCTTTCTTTCTTTCTATCTTTCTTTTTCTCTTGATACTCTCTTTCACCTTTTCTCGATCCTCCACGTTGCACTCATAAGAAGAAGAAGAAGAAGAAGGGTGCCGTGAGATTCTTAAAACTTCTCACGAGATTTTTCGATTTTAATTACAGTTTTAACATATTTTAATAAAATCCTCTGGCGTCTTCCCATACCATTTCGTTCTACCGCCCATCGTTATTCTGATTCTCTCTCTCTCTCTCTCTCTCTTTTTCTCTCTTTCTCTTTTCTTCGCTTTAATTCCGTTCAAGTTTCAAGCTGTTTCTCTCACTCTCTTTCTCTCTCTTTCTCTCTCTTTTTTCCCCTTTTTTTCTTTCGGTTAACAGGCACAAAATTCAAAGCAACTTTTATTCTGGACTGTATTCTGTCGGTGTACATAACGTTAACCCTTTCGTTCGTTCACCCACACCCACACTCGCTGATGGAGCAACACCTGTTCTTCCAGGACGTGGCCGAAACCGAACGTTCTTCTTTCTCACGGTTTCGGTCCTTCCAACAGTTTCGTTCTCCTACGCGCCGTGAAGGAAAGAATGCTAAAGAACTTTAGTGTAGTTAAATACGCGTACTCTTTCAATTATCTTAACATTTTCTTTCAATAAGTGTAGAATATATACAATCTATTGGAAATTATTATTTGCGTCGAGTAGAGAATATTTCCTTTCTGAGTAATATAATCACAATATGCAATATTATAAACATATAATATTAAACATAAATTAAGATATTTTCATAAAACGTTAGTGTTACGCAATTTTTACTGCGATAACAGAACGATTCGATATCGTACGACAGAATGAAAAACAGAATCTACGCGATGACCTCCGACTTCGATGCCGGTGCCGGCGGCATTGAACTTCCGCCGCCACGTAAGTAAAATTCCTATTAAAGTTCCCAATAACGAGAAATATTATATATATATATATATAATTATAATCTGAAAAGCTCATTAACTCTTTCTCTCTCCTTCTCTTTCACTTTCTCGTCGTAGTATACTCAAACTATTGAAAGACTCTTCGTTTAAGGGATCAGAATTGACATGTATTCAAGTAAGCTTTCGAAGCTCTTTATAATCCTTGACAGTAAATATAGAAATATTAACATACCATAGAAACGGTAAACGACTAGTCATCGGATCGAGCGAATCAACGAATCATGCATGCTATTATAATATATTATTTATGTTCATAGAAATGATATTATTTTGAATGAAAATAAATTAATGAAAAATGCACAAGTGAAAATATTGAGGACTATGATAAACAATTATTATTATCATCATCACGCAAATATCTCACATACTTATTTATAATAAATTGCGAGTTAGGGCCGATTTACCATTCTCCGTTGCTCGACAAAAAGTACAGCGTACCAACTAACCCCGGCAGTTCTTCTCGCAGATCTTCATGCACAAGAGCGCGATGCAGATGCACGCGAGGGAGCTGGGTGCTGGCGCACTGACGGCAAGACCCGGGGGTGGCGTCGCGGGAGGCCTCGCGGGTCTCAGCGTCGGTGTTGGCGTTGGCGTCGGACCCGGGGGCATGATCACCGGTAACGAGGTCAAACCACACCAGTGCCAGCAATGTCTCAAGTCCTTCTCGAGCAATCATCAGCTCGTGCAGCATATCAGGGTTCATACCGGCGAGAAGCCCTATAAGTGCAGCTATTGTGACCGCAGGTTCAAACAACTGAGCCATGTACAACAACATACGAGGCTACACACGGGTAAGCTTTCTTTTTTTATTTATTTATTTCCTACCTTATAGCGCTTATACTCGCGCCATTTTTTATTCTCCTTTTTACGGGTTCGAATCCCTTCTTTACGAATATCTATCCAATACTATCAAAAATTCTTATCTTCTTACGACCTCTTTAAAGTCAACTGCACATTGGTTTTTGTTTTCTTTTCCTTTATCTATTTTACTAATTGTGCCGTAACTTTAGTGATCTAACGGTAACTATTAAATCCAACGTGGCTTGTACGTTGATTATAATAGTTTTTATTGAAATATTTTAAGTCATAGGAATATATTTTAATATTGATTGAAATAGATTTTCAAACAACGAATTGTTGTTTTGATAATAGCCTTAATAAAAAAAAATCTCTCCTGAAGCAATCTCGTTAGAAGCTAGTTAAGATCGCCGATGTATCGATCATTTTAAAGGATTCGCAATAATGGTATAAGAAGGAGAAAAACTGATAGCGGAGCGGTAACCGATTGCTCGCGCCGAGATAGAAAGAATTTCATTAAGGGATGAGCGTAGTCAGTTGGAAGGTATTAGCCTTGGAGCGAACGTTCATTGCCGTATATACGAATCGACCCTTGGAAAAATTTCCCCGATCTCAGCAGTTAAGATTTGCTTTAGTACTAAAGAGTAAAAAAAAAAAGAAAAAAACGAAGTCTTCGTTGGCATGTTAACTATTTAATCGGGACTCTTTTCAAAATAACGGCGAAAAAACGAGTTAGAAAACCACATCTAATCGTAATGTCTAAGAAATCATTCGAGATTTCACTACAGTATTGTTAACATTTATTAAAACTGATAAATTTTCGATATCATAATTAAGTTACTTGTTATTAAATTTCATTTTTAAATCTAACCTTTAAGTACATATTCAATTTGATTAATTAATTTCATTATAAAAAAAACATTCGAATACATTACTAAATGTGTACACTAGATTTAAGAAAATTAAAACAGTTACTTTTGTGAGAAAGAAATATAAAAGTAAGAACGCGCTCGGTTCTTTGTCGTAGTATGCATACATGTGATGGGAACACGCTCGTACGAAGGCTTTGCTCGAAAGTTCGTCTTTCTTGGCCGTAGCTCAGGATAAAAGAAGGGCTCGCATTGATTTTAGCCCACCGCCCAACCCAACCGCCCACTTCTCGACGTAGACCTTCTTTTTCGCGACCACCCATGGCCAAATAACTACTGCTCAGCCACCCCTTACATTAATAACCACCCTGACTACGTATCTCCGCCCTCCCGCACCACCTCAGATATACTCGGTGCTCAAAACGGACCGCGTACAATAACGTATACGCGAGAACGTTATTGCCGCATATGCGACTTTGACTTTTCACCTTTTCATTGATGAAACGTCACAGTCTTTTGCTTGCATACATTCGCCCACACATTTTCAAAATAGGAACAATATGTAACAATATGTAAATAATGTATTTGTTAACAGTCCTATCACAGTTTCAACGATCTATATGTGTATATAAACTTATTCTATTTTATTTTTAATATTATTACAAGATAAAAATTCTATACATAGATTGATTTAATCTCGGCAAGGTTAAATTTTTTTATTTTTTTTTGTTAGTATATAAAAATAGTAAAAATTTACGTTGGAAATTTTCTGTGTGACTATCGGTACTTGAAGTCAACGGTTTTATGAATATTTTTTATACAATTATAAATAGCAATTCAAATATATTTTTGTATGTACTTGGTTTTTTATTACTTAACAGTTTAATATTTGTGGTAAAATAAATGCTCGAATTGATTAAAGAGAAATATAGTACTATTATTTGAATTATAATATTCAAAAAAATATATATAAGAGAAACGCTTTTATTCACCGTATGATAATTAATATCTATTTTATATAGTTACAAAATTTATTTTTTATAAATATTATATATTTATGTTTATAAAAAAGATTAATTTTTATCTATGAGATTTAAACTAAATGTTCACGTATGTGTGATAGAGGCTTTGAAGACATAAATCGTAACCAAATTTCAATGAACATTAGTTTAATCCATTTAGAGCCTACCGATAAAGTTGTATATTAGTAAAAAATATCGAGCCAAGTTGATGTAATTCGATAAGATTTAAGAATAAAGATTTTGTAAACAATGATAATTATGAAATTCAAAAAGAAACATATTGATAAAATATAAAGGGAGAATATATTAATGATAAATGTATTATAATATATTTGTTGAAAATTCGATTAATTATGCGTGCTTAATATTCGAAAGGAAAAATAGTTTTAATTTGTAACATTATTCATGATTATTTGTAAAATTTCCATTAACGACATATCGTTATACATGTGTATATATATGGATGATGCACCATAAGGGTTAATTTGGATGGATTCATTTTGCAAAGATATGGAATAACTTTGGAATGATAAAACATAAAACGAAGGAAAAAATGAATAAAAAAATGATCGGAAGAAAAGATCAATGAGAATATCTTAGGTCCGATCGAACACAGCTTCCCTCTTTAATATCTCCCTGTGTCATCCGGAATATCTGTCGGCACGGATTCAAAAATTGGCGGGTGGTTCGTGCCTCGTTACCCACCAACCACCATTTTCCCGACAGCTCGAATTCCGACAAACGGCTGCTTGCAAACCGCGCATACCGCTTTCCTTCCGATATAGTCCCGATACGGCATTTACGCGGCGTATTGATCTCTCGTTTCGACGAGATTCTGGCGTGGTGCTATTGGTCGATCGAATTCAAAAAACGGCGGGAATTTACTGCTCCGCTGCGACCGACTGCTGTTTCTCTCTCTCATTCTCTCTCGGCAGTTATCCTCTATCCCCGGGCCTTCGTGTTTATATATATTTATATATATATACATATATATATATATATACATTTATATATATATATAGATATAATATATATAGATATAATATATATAGATATAGATATAGATATATACATAAACTTATATCTATATATATGGCACATATATAATTCATTAACCGAAATTTAACAGAATGCGTGTGAGAAGTGAAACGGGAAGGGGGTGTTGCAGAAGAGGGAGGAAGTTTTGGAAGAGAAGGGGTTGGTCGTGCAAGCAAGAGGGGAGGAAGGAACGAAGAGAATAGAAGGAATGGCGAATATAATATCGAGTGTCGACGATATCGATACCCGGTCAATAGCTGCAGACTAGACAAATACGAACAGAGGGTATAGAGGGAGAGAGAAAGAGAAAGAGAGAGCGAGAGAGAGAGAACATCTTCTGAAGCATCCCCTCCTGGCGACCGTGCGAGGGTGACTGCGCTTCGGCAACCAATGGGAAAGCTGATAGCCCCACCGAACTCGGATCACGCAAAAAAGCGCGGGAATTTTTCGATCGGCCGATCGTTCAATAATGGAAGCGAAGTTACGCGTGTCGCCACTGTCGAATGAGCGCGTGCGCGCGCGCGTTTTCATTCGTTCCTCGTTCATACGGTAGAACGTTGCACACATATATATGCACTCACGTAGTTTGTAAATGTGAATATTCTATAGCTATAGTGTGGCCAGCGTTAAACACAGTTACATCTACTAGGGTTGCTACTGCCTGACAAAGATTATCCCTTCGGCAACAAGCAAAACTCAATTTCGACAGGAAAATCTAATGATCGCTCTATTCCACGCTCACGATCGAACGCATGCTTCTAATCAGTTTTCGAGTAGCTTAACTCGATAAAAAGATCGACCAAAATTCATCTAAATAGCGTCGATGTGATTTAGAAAAGATGAAAATCGGAAAATACATTTGATATTTGTTCTTTTTTATCGTTATATGACTTTTAAAACTATAGTATACGATCGATCGAACTTGTCCTGTTCTTCATGCTCTTTTAAGAATAGAATACGCGGATTCACTTTTCCATATCTATATTTTCTCGATCGTATATCCCATTAAAGATTTAATCTTAGATACTTATAAATTCCAAATTTACATCCGCTTCGTATTAAAGAGCAATCGAAGTTCATTTCTGTTCATCGATAATTTGCAGCTATCATCGGAGGGCTTCACGGCGACACAAAACACACCCCTTTTTCGATTGTCAAGCTGTCGGTTAAAGTATCGTTTGAAAAAAGTATCACGTACTAGCGACGAAATTGACCGGACAATTTTAAAGCCCACTTAATGCCGCGAAAAATTACCGTTTCGCCTGTGCATGAATAAAAATTAAGGTTCTTTCGCGAACGGGGGTTCTTCTCTTTCTCTATCTTTCTCTTTATCTATCTATCTATCTATCTATCTATCTGTCTATCTATCTCTTTCTCTCTCTCTCCCTTTCCACTCTAGCAAACGACTCGCTCTCTCATAACAAGTCTGCATATTTGTATTTACGAGGTGCTGCTGTAAAGCAAAGCAAAAAGGACGAACGATCTAGAATTCAGACATCGAATTTCTCCTTTTTGAACCCCTTCATTCGTTCCATCTCTCTTTCTCTTCTTTCCTCTCTATATCTCTCTCTCTCTCTCTCTCTTTCAAATCTTACCATCAACCAACAGCGAAAACGACTCAACCTTCTCTGTGACGAGCCGTCACCCTCGCGAGCCTCCTTTTTCTCTCTACCTCGCACTTTTAATTCGCTAATTTTGCCCGTTTAAGAATTCATGCGACGGAATGCTTCACCAGACGTCTCGAGAAAAATCAAAGCAACGAAAACGTTCCTTCCTTTTCTTTCTTTATCTCTTTCTCTCTCTCTCTCTCTCTCTCTTCTACTCGTGAACTCGACAAAGTCAACGCAAAAGAAAGAGCAACAACGGCCTCTACCTTTTTCAAGAATCCGATGAAAGATTAAGAAAAGACGGTAATCGCGAGCAAGGAATTTTCCTCTTATATTCTTTCTTTATATAATATTTTATCTCTCTCTCTCTCTCTCTCTCTCTCTCTCAGTCTTTCTCTATCTTTTTCTCTCTCGTTCTTTTTCTCTTTTGAAGATGTTCGATCGCCCCTCGCATTGC